AAACAAGTTTTGTATTATATACTTTCCCCTTAAGTCTGCAACTCTAATAAAATTTTGAATTTAAATATTTTAAACCGGAATCTAATAAGAAATGTTTAATTTTATTATAGTTAGGAAATGTGAAATATCATAGGTTATTCTCTTCAGACCTGATCAGACCAGTTACTAGTAATTACTTTTTTTATGAACATTCAGAAAGTAATTAAATATGTATATACATATACATATACATATAATAAAAATCAAGAATTTTCAAACTAAAATATATAAAACTGACATTTGACCCTCAAAACCAGTTTGGGAGTCGCCAATTAGTCTTCCTCACCTAGTCCTTTACGATTAATATGAATTAGTGTGGTTTTATCCTCCGGTTATCAAGCCTCCACTGCCCAGATGGGAAACAATCAAGGCCCTCATTCCTCTATACCGATTCCCTAATCCCGTGGTAGTGTTAGTGAGCCAGCAAAAACTGTTTAATAGGGTTCTATAGTTGAAACGAAAAGTCGACTTTTCGACTTTTTGCATTTAGTTAAAAGTCGACTTTTCGACCTTTCGACCTTTCGACTTTTTCCATTTTATGAAAAGTCGATTTTTCGACTTTTCGACCTTTTTCATTTATTTAAAAGTCAACTTTTAGACTTTTCGACTTTTAGTATTTTATAAATGGTCGACTTTTTCCGACTTTTCGACTTTTTCCGACTTTTCGACTTTTTTTCGACTTTTCGACTTTTTCCGACTTTTTTCGACTTTTTTCGACTTTTTTCGACTTTTTCCGACTTTTCGACTTTTTCCAACTTTTCGACTTTTTGATTTTTTACGACTTTTTGACTATTTTCGATTTATTTCGACTATTTTCGACTATTTTTTTACTTTTTTCGAGTTTTTCCGACTATTTTAGAGTTTTTGAACTTTTTTAAAATTTTCGACTCTTTTTGACTTTTCGACTTTTTTCGACTTTTTCCGACTTTTCGACTTTTTCCGACTTTTCGACTTTTTTCGACTTTTCGACTTTCTTCGACTTTTTTCGACTTATCGACTTTTTTCGACTTTTATTTACAAAGTCGACTTTTCGACTTTTTTCATAGACGATAGTCGAGTTATCGACTTCGACTTTTCGACAAAAAGTCGATTGTTCGAAAGTCGATTTATAAAACCCTACTGTTTAATGACTTTCATTTGTAATTACTTAACTAACGACATACTTTTCACTAACTACTACATATTTATAATTCATTAGTTCTCTTGCCTGTGAAGCTATAGAAGCTGTATACCTTTGTTCTAGGGTTCTATAAATCGACTTTCGAATAATCGAACAATCGACTTTTTGTCGAAAAAAGTCGAAAAGTCGAAGACGACTATTTTGTTCCAAAAAAGTCGATAACTCGACTATCGTCTATGAAAAAAGTCGAAAAGTCGACTTTGTAAATAAAAGTCGAAAAAGTCGAAAAGTCGGAAAGTCGAAAAAAGTCGAAAAGTCGAAAAAAGTCGATAAGTCGAAAAAAGTCGAAGAAAGTCGGAAAAAGTCGAAAAGTCGAAAATAGTCGAAAATTTTAAAAAAGTGGAAAAGAGGTCAAAAACTCTAAAATAGTCGGAAAAAACTCGAAAAAAGTAAAAAATAGTCGAAAAAAGTCGAAAAAAAAGTCGAAATAAGTCGAAAATAGTCAAAAAAGTCGTGAAAAATCGAAAAGTCGAAAAAAGTCGGAAAAAGTCGAAAAGTCGAAAAGTCGAAAAAAGTCGGAAAAAGTCGAAAAGTCGACCATTTATAAAATACTAAAAGTCGAAAAGTCTAAAAGTCGACTTTTAAATAAATGAAAAAGGTCGAAAAGTCGAAAAATCGACTTTTCATAAAATGGAAAAAGTCGAAAAGTCGACTTTTAACTAAATGCAAAAAGTCGAAAAGTCGACTTTTCGTTTCAACTATAGAATCCTACTTTGTTCATGCTATTTACAGCGACTATTTTTTCTAATTACTTGTAACCGTCTGTGGTAAGTAGTTGCCTCCAATGACATAACCGTGTTAAAATAATGACTTAAAATGCTATTGTTTAAATAAATTTTACCATTTTAACACCTTACATGGTAAGGAAAGTTTTTGCAGGGGAGGTATTATTCTCCAGAATTTAAAGGATGATTTAATTTTGAAACAGTCTATAGACTAGTCAAAATACTACACAATAGACTAGACTATAGACTTGACTATAAACTAGTCAATATACTTGTCAAAAGACTAGTCAACTGACTAGTGAATAAACTACTCCATAAACTAGTCCATATATTAATCAATTGACTACTCAATATACCACTCCATGGACTACTCCATAGATTATATAATAAACTAATCCATATATTATTTAACTAGTCAATGTACTAGTTTATAGATTATCCAATATACTAGTCAACTGACTAGTCCTTAAATTTTCCAATAAACTAGTCCATAGACCAGTCCATCGATTGTCCAATAGACTAGTCCATATACATATACTAATATTTAGTCAATTTACTAGCCCATAGACTAGTCGATAGATTATCAAATATAGTAATCAAATGAGTAGTCCAGAGATTATTCAATAGACAATCAACATACTAGACAATAGACTAGTTCATACATTAACCGATAGACTAGTCAATTAACTAGTCTATAGGCTAGTCAATAAACTAGACCATAGATTTGCAAACTAGTCCACAGACTAGTCAACTGACTCGTTCATATATTATTCAATAGACTAGTAAACTGACTAATCTATAGACTAGTCCGTAGACTAATCCATAGATTAGCCAATAGGGTAGTCAAAATTAGTCAAATGTTAGAAATACGGGTTAGTTCTCTTGTGAACCATCTATATATATAAAAATGAAAGTGTGTTTGTATGTATGTTTGTTTGTTTGTTTGTGCTTTATAGACTGCTAAACGGCTGGACCGATTTTCCTGAAATTTTCACAGTTTCTTCCTGTATGTCTGGAAGGAACTATAGGCTACTTATTATGTTGAAATTTCATGTGGGCGACGTGCCACGCCCATATTAAGAAAATATTAAATTAGTATATATGAGATAATATAATAGTTATAGTCTTCAAATTTTGTCGGAGCAACTTTAGTATCAATATAATTATTTAAGACAAAAAGTGGGCGGATTAGCATTAGGGAGCGTGGCACCTCCCATATAAATTAAATACAAAAATTCATTTATCTTGGAAACTATTATAGTTAGAATATTAAAAATTTGCACGAGTAACTTTAACATTCATGTAAACATTTTGGGAAATAAATTGGCGGACTACCCATGAGGGGAGCAGCACTTCCCATATTAATAAAATACAAAAATTGGTTTATCTGGGAAACTTATAGAACTAAATTCTTCAAATTTTGCACTAAGAACTTAAATATTCATCTGAACATTTTGGAGAAAAAAGAGCGGACTTTCGTCATGGGGGGCTTGGAGCCCCCATATAAATTAAATAGGAAAATTATTATATCTGAGAAACTATTAGAGCTAGAATCTTCAAATTTTAATTGAAGAACTTTGACATTCATGTGAACATTCAGAGAATAACGGGCGGACTTTCAATGGGGGGCTTGGCACCTCACATATGAAGTAAATACAAAATTTTGCTTATCTGGGAAACTTATAAAACAAGATTCTTCAAATATGGCAAGAAGAACTTTATTATACATATGAACATTTTGGAGAAAAAAAGGGCGGACTTTCACCGGGGGGCTGTGAGTTCCCATATGAATTAAATAGAAAAATTCGTACATCTGAGAAACTATTAGAGCTAGAATCTTCAAATTCTATATGAATATCTTTGACATTAATGTGAACATTTAGAGAATAACGGGCGGACTTTCAATGGGGTTTTGGCACCCCCTATATGAATTAAATACAAAATTTCGTATATCTGGGAAAATATTAGATTTTTTTTTTAATTTGTCATCGATTACATTAAAATCTTAATTAACGTTCGGAAAAAAATGTATCTCTGGAAAACATTACAGTTAGAATCTTCAAAATTATTAAGAAGATTTTTTATTTATATTGCTTTTAGGGTAGCAAAGCACACTGGGTATAGCTAGTCCCCTATAAAATAAAATATAACTTTTTTAAAATTTGTGTAAAAATTTGATTTCTCCATTAACTCAACATGAATGAACTTTTAATAAGTTAAGCGAAATAATGGTGCGATCACATAATACTCTTTCCAGACTCAAGATCAATCACAAATAAAGGGCGAAATATAAAAAATACAAACATTTCTTTAAAAAATACGTGCATTTCGTAAAAAATTTAAAACTCAAAAAGATTTATCGTATAAAAATCTTGGCACATACCGATTTTCAAGGGAAGTACATCAAACAAAAACTTTTTTGGGGTGTAGTTGAAATAAAAACAAAAGTTTAAAATGCAATAAATCATGCATATTTAGCGGCTAAAAATGATAAATAAATCTAATACTTAAACATAAATGTTGACAATTATAGCAGCAACAGATGACAAATTATGTTAATGTGATTACTATTTGCCGTAAAAAAATATGAATAACTTTGAGTAACTCAAGTATCTTTGAGGTAATTTATCTTTATATTATTGTTTTAAATATTGTGTGGTAAATAATTACTTGTGTACTTATTTGTTTGTTAGGTATTTTGAATAAATTTTATTAAAAATCTTTTAACATACATATATGCGTGTATATGCAAAAACAAAAGCTTACATTATTAAATGATCGAGTACGAACGAATGAACGAATCCGTGAAATTTATTTGTACTCATCAGCAAACAAATACCTAAAAAAGAAGAATCTCGTATGTAGTATAAATCGTTTTTGAAATACATACATAGAGTCAAAACATAAGTATTCATGAGTGTTATGTCGCCTATGTATGTATGTAGTATTTAGGCCGGGGTTTTGAATTTTAATTGTATGTAGATGTGAGTGTGCTCGGGTAAGTGTAAATGTGTGATCCACTACTCTAGAGATTTTTGTCAACACTATTTAGCTCACAAGCTTAAAAATATAGATATTTTTGAAAAATAAAACTTAACGGTTGCTATAAATAGTCTAACTATCTCATAATCAATGTCAGTTAAATTTAGACAAACGATCTAAACGGTTTAAGTGAAAATTAACTAATTCTAACCTAATTCAAAATGAAATTCTTAATCTTGGTACGTAACAAAAAAAAAAAATATGGATTAAAAGTTTAACAAATTTTTAAAGAAATTTTAAAAGTTTGTGAAAATTTTGTGAAAAGAACATTTAATGGAGTTTAAGGATTACCAAGGAATTTCGAAGTTCTAAAGGAATTTAAGTGAATTTTACAAAAATAAACATTAAAATAAAAAAATCGGTGCTGAATGAAGATTTGAAAGTGAAGAAAAGAATTGTTTTATTAATTAAAAAAAATTTTTGTTTTTGTTTAAATCGCTGCAGCAAGTCAAAATTTTGAAAATGGTTTTATGAGAACAAAAATAGTTACATATTTTCCAACGAATAATAAAATGTGCAGAATTACACAAGCCAAAAAAAAATTTGAAAAAAGTCGAAATTTAAAGACTCAGAATTTAATCGTGTCATAAGCATTGAAAAACCCCATTTTGAAGACGTTCTAACAAAGCGAAGACACCTTTATTTAAAAAATCTGCTATGTTGTCTGAAATTTCAACCTCTCGACTATAAAATGATACATCTCCTTTCTTCTTTGAGATATCTTAACTTAAAGTTTTTCAAAATTTATAAAGCGAAAATACGGTTGTGATGGATAAACTCTGAGGCTAGATTCGCATTCAAAGCTGATCAAGACCTTAGCTTCGACTACATTAAATTTCATCATGTTATCTCCAATTGTTTCTGAGATTTCGTACGATTTCCAAAAATATTTAATAAATCACTCCACAAAGTTCTTTTCAATTTATTTTTAATTATTTATAATTTTATTTATAAACAATAATTTCTAAATTGATTTCCACTTACAGGCTCTCATTGTTTGCGTAGCTATCATTGCTACCGTCAGCGCTGTACCCGTTGAAGAAGCCATTCCCCAGGGCATTGAAGGAGCTGCCTCCGAAACTGTTAATCCCTCTGATGATCAATCATTCTTGTTGAAATTGAAATTGTTGAAAAAACTCTTGTTCCTCGGTTAAATAATTTCAACAAAATCTAGTTAATACCTTGTTAGTTATGTGCTATACTTTATTAAAAACAAAGAAATAATACTAAAAATGTTCAATAGTTTTAAGTTAAAACAAAAAATCTTTTATAATACTAAATTTAGTTAAATAAATATAATAAAAAATATAAAAAACAATATGTTTAGCTAAAGGCAAATACATTATTTCAAGAGATATGACATTAAAACATAATTTAAATTATTATTATTAACAATAATACAAAAAAACTCAAATTTAACGTAAATTTCAATGTCATAACTGCACAACAACCTTTAAAAGCATAGCCGTCATATAAATAATTATAAGCCGCCGCTAAAATTTTTAGTATTAAACGCCGTTTATGATAATTTTAGTGGACACAGGTTTCTGCATTGTCACCTTGACAGCCATAAAAAAGACGATTTTATTTTTTTGGAATGAGATAAAAAAAGGTCATAAGGAAAGCCACACAAAATATAAATTCCACAAAAAAGGAAAAGAAAATTAGCCAATTAATTACCAAAAATAGAATAATTGTTAATTAATCACTAGAAAGTTACATATATTTTCTAGCCTAAAAACCAAAATTTACAAAGAAAAGTTCAAAGAACTGAGGAAACATAGCAAAGCCAATAAAAAATATATAAAGAAAAACGTAATTACAAAAAGAAGAAAAAAACAGATTGAGAAAAAAAGGAAAAAATGACGGGTACATTTAGTGTAAAGTTAAAATCGAAAAATGGTCAATTCATTGTTAAGGATTTATCAAATAAAACAACAGTAGCTGATCTCAAGCAGCGTGTGGCGGCAGTAACACAAATAAAAGAGCCTCAACTGCACATACTAATGGGTTTTCCACCCAGACCTCTGGATTTGGCGCACAATAGCCAGCAGCGTACTCTTGAAGGCTGCGGCATATCTAGCGGGGAGACTTTGATTGTTGAAGAAAAACCTGAATCGGAAGTTGTAGCTGTAGCTGCCACTTTAGAGGATGATGAAGCTTTAGCCAGACGTTTGCAGGCCGAGGAAGAAGAACAGCAATTACGAGAAGTAGTAGCAGCTGCCACCACCGGTACCAATTCTAATACTAATGAAATACCTGATGTAGACTTGTCGTTACCCGGTTCGAGTGGCAATTTTAATGGCATACTCTTGAAAAAAGTTGTACCTGCCGATAATTCCTGCTTATTTACCAGTGTGCGTTTTGTACTCAATGGCAAAGTTGACAATGAGGGCAGTGAAATGATGCGTCATATCATTGCCCAAGAGGTGGCGGCTAATCCTCAAGAATATAATGATGCCGTATTGGGTAAATCAAATGCAGAATATTGCTCCTGGATACAAAAGCCGGACTCATGGGGTGGTGCCATTGAAGTAGCGATACTTTCTAGTTACTATGGCATTGAAATTGATGTTGTCGATATACAAAATGCCATTATCAATCGTTTTGGTGAAGATAAGAATTATGGTTTAAGGGTGTTTTTACTATTCGATGGCATTCATTATGATCCCTTATATATGGAAACCGATGGTGTAAGTATATAAGTAAAATATCTAGACTGTTCTAAAAGATTTACTTTTTATAAAAAATTTTCGCAAAAATTCAGTTTTTTAACAAAATTTCTTTTTTTAAACATTTCAATAATTTTTTGTTTTCCTTTTTAGGGTGGCGCACCGGCAACTATTTTCCCCGTCGAAGAAATGGGCGTCTATCAGCAGGCTGAACAATTGGCCAAAGAAGCCAAATCATCGCGTCAATTTACCAATGTCGATAAATTTTCTTTGCGTTGTTTACAGTGTGACGTCATGCTTGTCGGCCAACTGCAGGCCACTCAACATGCTAAAGCTACTGGACATACAAATTTTGGAGAAATTTAATATCTATTAATACTGGGATCGCTTTATATGTTTGCCTTTTGCGTATTTATCTATTATTTAATAACACAATGGGTCTTGCCAGCCAATTCCATACTCTGAAACATCACTCTAAAGAAAAATATATAAACAAACACAGCAGCAGCTCGAAGAAAGATAAAAAAAATAAGATTTAATTAAAGTAAAAACAATTCTCATTGTCTGTTCTGAACTTTGATATGCTAATGCTTGCATAACATTTGAAATAGTCGTTGTAGTAGTTTTTAAATCCATTTCAAACAAACAAAATGCCATCTAAAACCTCATTAATTACTTTAAAACATTTTTATGATCATTTATCTGGTAAAAAATTGATTTAGTTTTCTATTTTCATTTTCTTGTGGAAAGACTAATTAATAATGTTTGTTCTCAATTTAGAAATTATTTATTGTATTTTTGATATTTTTATTTACGAAATTTATTTGTTAATTTATTAAACTCGTACATTAAAACAACAAACATGAATTTCATATAATATTGCTAAATTATTAATTAAATAACACTATTTTAACAAAAACTGAAAATTAGAGACAAATAAATTGATTAGAGGGGAAAATTAAGAAATTTTTAAAATGGGAATTGGAAAAAGAGAAATTTAGAAAATTTTCTATAAAGAAAAGTAATTTTTAGAAGAGACATTTACGATAAGTTTTCGAAAAATTTTATAAAGAAAAGAAATTTTCGAAAATTTCCTATAAAAAGCTACATTTCTATAAACTGAGATATTTCCAAAAAATTTCTCAACATTGAATTGAATTATTGTATGTTTCTATAAAAAAAAAATTTATAGAAAATTTGCTATAAAAGTAGAATTTCTGAAAAATGTTCTTTAAATGGATTATTTTCTTCAAATAGCGAATTTCGTAAAAAGTTTCTTTAAAAAGTTATGTTAAAAATCGATTGATAAAAACGGTTTTTATACCTGTTATAAGAATTTTTTTTATTCCATTAGACAAATTACAATTTTTATTTATATTTTTTAATAAAATTTAGCTAGATTTATAAAATCAAAGTATATTTAAACCAAAACTCTTTAAACGTCTTAGGAAGTAGTTACCCATGGAGGGGTCATGGGAGCGGGATTTTGTAAATAAGACATGACAACAGCACTAACACTCAACATGAAAGATGATAGAACCTAAAACAAAGAAAATATTTATTTTAAAAAAGTCTCCTGTATAAAGATCTTGAAAGAATTACCTGTTTGGCATCATCGCTAACACGGGAACTGGCAAAACTAATGCAGGAACAGTACAAAGCAAACCAGGCACACCATTTCAATTTCATCATCAAACCGCACATCGAAAAGATCATACCTTTGTCATTATAAAGGAAATAATTAATTAAAAATTAATGACGAAGGAAAAAAAGATAAACTTACCCAAAATGTTCATGTAGTCAGGTGTTAAATCTTCATTACTGGTGCCACTGCCATTTTGTCCTTGATTTGCTGGTGGCTTATAGCGATTTACCTTTTCTTTACGTCTGGGATCAACAGAGGAATTCATGTTTTTCTATGGTTTTATTTATTTTAATAATTAAAACGAAAAAAAATTACAGCTCCAACTTAAAAATTAGGTCGTCTAGTGAAAAAGTAGATAAAAAAAGTTAATTAAAAGTGTCAAAGAAAGAAAAAAATATCAACAATGACGTTTGACATTTTATTTTCATAGTGTAAAAACGGCCAGCAAAAATGCAACCCTGTTTTGCCCCCTTTTAGTGATTGAAGAAAAAAAATTGGACGGAAATTATAATTCTTAAAAATTTCTCTGCAAATAACTTCACAAGTATTTAAAAAATAATTAATAATAACAAATGTGCGTCAAAAATTAATAAAACTTTAAGAACTATTTCATTTTTTTAGCTTAAAAGTATTTCGTTTCAAAGAAAATATGTCTCTCATAAAAGACAACTATAACGGTAAATGGCGCAATGCCGCTGACCTTGAAAATGCTGTCACTAATATGGAAAATAATTTAGAAAATATGGTGAGTTTGATGGATTTTACAACTTTTTAAACAAATAATAAATTACTTTTTGTTTATTTTAGAATAAAACCTTTATAAATAAAATGTTAAAGGCATTAAGCTCTTTAATGGTAACAGTGCAGCATAAAGAAGCTAACATTTTCAATGTGGCACTCAGGTGGTTTCGTTTATATTTGGTAAGTACCTAACTAATGGCAAAATTTTTGTACAACTATTAGTTGTTTGGTTTATTCCAAACTGACTAATCTAGATTTAAGAAATTGCAGTTAGGCTCCGGCCAATCCAGTGTAGCAGCCTAGTATAAGGGCATAAGTTATTTCATAGATAGTCGCAGAATTTGTTAAATGTGTTAATATTATTATGAAACATAATTATTAATATAAAACAAGTTCGTATTGTTGATCAAACATATAATTTAAAGAAATAGAGATATTCTCGAAATTTTGTTTAAAAAAAAAGAGATTTTTTTAAATTTTCTATAAAAAGGAGAAAAATTTTGAAAATTTTCTATAAATAGTACATTTTTTTATTAAAAAGAGAATTTTTTAAAGATTAAACTAAATTTTTAAAGTATTGTCTTAATTTTCTAAAAAATAAATTTTAATTTTAAATTTTTTTTAGAAAGTTCTCACCACGATTAATCCCAATAATAGAAAACTATTGAAACATTATGAAAATACAGTGCCCACAATAATAACATATATCATTGGATGTTTACAATATAAATCAAAAGAAATGCCAAACTATCATTATGATTTATTGGAAATATTAGAAGAACTTTTGGAAAATGTACAAGCCGAGGTATTGAGTGAAATAACGAAATTCGAAATTGGTACCATGTTAGTATAAAATGTTTAAATTTTATTTTTTAAATTAAATTTATCATATATTTTTTTTTTAATAAAATATAAAGAGGTTGCTTATGGAATCCCATAGATCTGGCGGGAGATTTTAATACACAATCAAAAGCTTTAAAAATACTAACGATACTTTTAAAACAATTCGATGGAATTAGACAAAATGAAGAGTTAAAATGTATTAAATGGACAAATTTAAATTTATTTCAAGATAAATTAAAAACTATTGTTCAAGAGACACAATTAACACATGTTATAGAAAATGTAAGTTTCACTAAAATTGTCTGCATATATAATTTAATTAATATTGCAATTAAATTTTAGACTACTCGCGAATTGCTAAATAATTATAATATGAATTTATCCAAAAATGTTATGGTTTATTCATTTTATTGTACAACGGTATTAATGGACAATAAATATACATTTTATAAACCTTTGGTGAGTAAAAAAACAAATATAAAATATTAAAAATGACTTATTTTTTAAATAAATATTTTCAGAATCTTCAAAAGTTTTGGATTGATATAAACTACAGCCCGAAAACATTGTCTTTTAAGGCGCGTTTTAAACTGTACCCTAAATCGAAATTTGAAGATATTAATGTTATTTTAAAGATTCAAATAATGAAACTGTAAGTAAACCTTACTTTAAAATTAGAATTATTAACTAAATATTCCATACTAATTATAGGCAAAACAATATTTTATTGATTTATTACAAAGCCCCAGGAGACTTTTCCAAACACGCCAATCATCTAACAAATGTTACAGATAATGTAATACAATTTAGTCTAACCCAAGAAGAGGTTAAACGTTTAAAGTCTAATAATTATGTAATGGAATACTTTAATTCTTTAAATGAAACTTCCCAAGTAAAACCTAATAAAAATCAAGAGAAAGATCAACACATCTTCAATTTATTAAAAAATGATATGTCCACAAATTTACAAGGTAAAAGAAAATTTTTATTTTTAAGTTTAAATTGTATAGTATAAATATGATTTTTCAATACTTTAGATAATAAAAGATCATCAAGTCTTGAAAGTGTTACAAATTCATTTTCAAAAACTAAGAAAACAAAATATGAAAAGTTATATTGATTCAACTCCGGAAAAGGGGACAAAGCCTAAAAGTAAAATGTTATTTAAAAAGCAATACAATCTAAAAATTTGAATATGGATATAGTGGAATCTCCCAAAACTTCTAGGAGAGAGGAAATGGCGGAAAACATCCTATTATAGAAATTTGCGCCTAGAAAAAAAAGGCTGGGGCAGGGAGGGAAGAAGCGAGGGGAAGCGGCAAACACGGACGAAAAAAAAGAAGAGAAGAAGAGAAAAACCAAGGGAAAGAAAAGGAAGAAAGGGACGAGCGAGCGAGCGAGCGAGCGAGCGAGCGAGCGAGCGAGCAGGCGAAGGAGCGAAGCGAGCGAGCGAGCGAGCGATCGAGCGAGAGCGAGCGAGCGAGCGAGCGAGCCAGCGAGCGAAGGAGCGAGCGAGCGAGCGAGCGAGCGAGCGAGCCGCGAGCGAGCGAGCGAGCGAGCGAGCGAGCGAGCGAGCGAGCGAGCGAGCGAGCGAGGAGCGAGCGAGCGAGCGAGCGAGCGAGCGAGCGAGCGAGCGAGCGAGCGAGCGAGCGAGCGAGCGAGCGAGCGAGCGAGCGAGCGAGCGAGGAGCGAGCGAGCGAGCGAGCGAGCGAGCGAGCGAGCGAGCGAGCGAGCGAGCGAGCGAGCGAGCGAGCGAGCGAGCGAGCGAGCGAGCGAGCGAGCGAGCGAGCGAGCGAGCGAGCGAGCGAGCGAGCGAGCGAGCGAGCGAGCGAGCGAGCGAGCGAGCGAGCGAGCGAGCGAGCGAGCGAGGCGGGAGACGAGCGAGCCGAGCGAGCAGCCGAGCGAGCGAGCGAGCGAGCGAAGCGAGCGAGCGAGCGAGAGAGCGAGCGACGAGCGAGCGAGAGCGAGGAGCGAGCGAGCGAAGCAGCGAGCGAGCGAGCGAGCGAGCGAGCGAGCGCGAGCGAGCGAGCGAGCGAGAGGAGAGAGCGAGCGAGCGACGAGCAGCGCACGTCGAGCGAGCGAGCGAGCGAGCAGGCAGCGAGCTGAGCAGGCAGAGTCAGCAGCGAGCGAGCAGCGAGCGAACCGAGCTACGACGAGCGAGCGAGCGAGCGAGCGATACGAGCGAGCGACGAGCGAGCGAGCGAGCGAGCACTAGCGAGCGATCGAGCGAGCAGAGCGAGCTAGCGAGCGAGCTAGCTTCATCGAGCAGCTAGCACAGCAGAGCTACAGAATCGAGCGAGCTAGCGATCGATCATCGAAAGTCGAGCGATCTATCATCATCTAGCTAGATCTATCTATCTATCTATCTATCTATCTATCTATCTATCTATCTATCTATCTATCTATCTATCTATCTACTATCTTCTATCTATCATCTATCTATCTATCTATCTATCGATTTTTAACCATATTTCCCTTTTAATCATAACAAACTAAATCAGGCTGCAAACAAATCTGTAAAGTAAACACCCACTGTTGATTTGACTAAAATCGATAACATGGATAATATAAAGCAAAATATGGAAAATCCCACAATTGAAAATGTTACTCCCAAGAAGTTTCCACCACTTTTAACAACTCAAGACTGTAAAGAGGTACTAAAACAAGTAGCCAATATTTATGATGTTACTGACACCACCTATGCCAAGCCCTGCCAATCCTATCGTAATTTTAAAATACATCCTAATACGTTAACACAAACTTCGAATGTTAAAAGTAGCGCGAACTCAAAAAGTCGCAAGAAAAAACTGGATCAAACTGATAATGAATCAAGTGTAGAGAAAATAAGAAAACTTACAAATGCTTGTGTTCTAGAGAATAAAGAAAATGTAAGTAATTTAGGTTTAATTGAATTTTTCTAAAAACTATTCAATTCCATTTTCTTAACAGATTAATCCTCAACATTTTACAGTGGACTCCAACATACGCCCTTTAGCAAAAACCAAAAGTATTATATCACCGGTAAGTACTAAGGCAAAACTAACCCATGATAAGAAAGTAATATTTAATCCATTTCTAGCATCTTTTCGAAACACAATTTAGTGATAATACTCCCCCAAATAATAACTTAAGAACAACTCATGAAAATAATCAAAGTAAATTTGTAGAAAATCTACAAATTGATCTAACACAAGATGAAATAGTAATATCTGAAGCGATACAAAATACTGTTATAAATAATGAAAATAATTCAAGTTGTGATTCTATAGAATGTGAAGAAGTTCGTGGTTTAAATGAAAATTCGTTAAAAGATTTACAATATATTTGTACACCAACTAAATCTATACTTTATAATAATAGCGAAGTGAATACTCCTAGACCAACTAGTTGTATGAATATATCGGATTTAAATGATTCAGATATGGAAATAACACAAGTTGTTAATAATCAAAATTTTCTAATGGAACGACTAAATGTAAACAATCATGAAAATAATGCTGTAACACAAAGTTATGCATCGGATATGAATATTACATATCCAAGTAATAATAAGCCAAATTTTATTATGGACCAACAAACTGAAAAAGTCCCAAGGCCTCAAGCAAATAATGAAGTAATAAATGATGTACCAATTGGTCTGCAAGAAATT